TTCGAACTGCTGACTCTGAGGTTAGCAGCCCGATTTGTAACCACTATGCTACCAGAAGTAGAAGGGGTTTAACACCCCACAGGGTGTTCTGGAGATTAAATGGGACCACACATGTGAAAAGTAGGTGCCCTGGTGGCGCCATGGTTAAGTGCTTGGCTACTAACTGTAAGGCAGGAGGTTTGAACCCACTAGTAGTTCCGCAGACAAAAAGACCTAGTGATCTGCTCCTATAAAGATTACAGCCTAGGGAATCATCTGGGGGCAGTTCTGCCCTGTTCTAAATGGTCACTATAAGTCAGAATCAACTGGACTGCATACAATATCATGTGAAAGTCCTGGGCTGTTACAGGTTTCCAACAAAAGTGCATTTAGTATCATGAAGTAGGAATGTCAGAAGTCCCTGGGTGGAGCAAATGGTGAAGCATTCAACTTCCAGCTGAAAGGTTAGCAGTTTGAACCCACCCAAAGGCACCTTAGAAGACTGGCATGCTGATCTGCTTCCGAAAGGTTACAGCCTTGAAAACCCTATGGGGCAGTTCTACTCTGCTCACCTGGATCAGCCTGAGTTGGATTCAACTCCCTGGTAACTAACATCATCATCAAGGTGACCTTCCAGAGGGTCCACCAGCCCTAAGGCCTTGGTCAATGCTCCTGAGCTGCCCCAGCTAAGTGTCCAGGAGGCCCCAGGCTGACCCCTTCTGTGTGGCCCAGGGTTGCTGGATCTCCCACAGCCACTGAGCCCCCGTCCCTCTCTCAGTGCTGTGGGCTACCTAGTCCTTAGGAGCTGTGCACAAGGGAGCCAGGAGACAGACAACAGCCAGTCAGGCACCTCATAGTCTTCCCACTTGGGGTTCTAAAGCTTCTCATGGAGAAGGGTGCCAGGCCTAGGAACAGTCCTCTCCCTTATACTCCACAGTATTCAGGATTCCAGCCCCCCACCTCTGAGCCTGAGGGTTAGACGTAATGAAACTTGCTTCTGCATGAAAAAGCAAACTGGCCTTGCTGGTGGGCTGTGGGGTGCCTCTGCTCCCACCTGTTCCCACACCCCAGTAGCCAGCCAGAATCCATTTAGACAGGCGCTCTGCTCACCGTGCACAGCTTTGGACTCCTCAGGGCACCGTGGAGAGACAGCTTCGCTCAGAGTCTTACAAAGGGAGATGTGCCGGGTGAGGGGCTTGGGTAGGGATGGGGGTTCCAGCTGCTGGGGTCTTTCCTCATAGGGTTCTGCAAAGGGGACCTCATCCTCACAGTCTGACTCTGTCTCAGAGCTAGAAGGAGAAAGGAGAGAGAGGACACATTAGGAGCCCAAGAATGCCCTGTGTGTATACGTGCACACGCACACGCACACACACACACATACACACACACTACCTGACCACTGCCTATAGCAGACCCTGGAATCCTGGGACAGGACAGTGGGTTTGTAAGCTCTGTGACCCACCCCTTGAGTCCTAGCTGGCCTTGTGAGCTATGTTGGCCGACCACATGCAAAGTAAATGACACTGTGCCAAGTCCAAGTCCCCAGAGGGTACAGGTTCTACTCTTTCTCTGACAGCCATGTGAACCAGCCTAAGCTTCCAGTTTGGAGATGAAGGCCCAAGAGCACCCCATTAGCCTCCCTCTCTCCAAACACAAGGAAGTCGCCTGAGAATAGAAGAACCACCCAAATGTGCCTTGTTCAAGCTGCTGACCTGTAGAATTGGGAGTGTCACACACGGGGCTGGTTTTCCTTCACTAACTTTTGGGCTGGTTTGCTTCCCAGTGTTATTGTAGTAATATCAAGGCTACAAAGGCCTTTCCTGGCCACCCAGTCTAAAGGAACTGACCAGTTACTATTTACATCTCTATTCTCCACTGAGCTCCAGTGGAATTATAGGATAAACACAAGTTTGGCAGTTCAAACTCACCAGCTTTCTGCTCCCATAAAGATTTATAACCTCTGAAACCCTATACAGGGTCACTATGAGTCAGAACTGGCTTGATGGCAGTGAGAGCAAGTTATTTTTCTACTTGGCACATATGCGAGCTTTTTTCTTTTTTTCAACTCTTTGCTTAATGGGCGGCTCCCCTATTTACAAGGAGCTCTGGTAGTGTAGTGGTTACGAATCGGGCTGCTAATCTCATAGTCAGCAGCTTGAAATTATCAGCTGTTCCGCTGGAGAAAGATGAGGCTTTCTGCTCCTGTAAAGATTTACAGCCTCAGAAACACTTTACAGGGTCACTATGAGTCAGAACTGACTCCATGGCACATAACAACAACAACCCTATTTACCCACTACCTATCCATCAGTTTTTCATACTGTGATGGCTGCATGTTGCTGCAATGCTGGAAGCTATGCCACCAGCATTTCAAATACCATCAGGGTCACCCAAAGGGAGCAAGTTTCAGTGGAGCTGCCAGACTAAAAAGACTAGGAAGAAAGGCCTGGTGATCTACATCCAAAAATGAGTCAGTGCAAACTGTAGGCTCACAACAAAGCATTATCTGACTTGCGTGTTTGGGGCATGTCATCAAGAGGGATCAATTGCTGGAGGAAGTGCAGGAGAAGTGAGGGCAAGAGTCTCCCCTTGTGAGGATGATACAAGTGTGGACAGTGCTTCTTTCTGTTGTACATTAGGGCACCATGAGTCAGAGTGAACACAAAAGCAGTTTGTCTATCTGTCATCTAAATATCTATCAGCTATCTGCCATCTGTCTATCTATCTACCTATCTATCTATGTATAGCAGTTTATCTATCTTCTCTATATATCTATCAAAGGAGCTCTGGTAGCGTAGTGGTTATGAATCAGGCCGCAAACCTCACGGTCAGCAGTTCAAAACTACCAGCTGTTCCACAGGAGACAGATAAGGCTTTCAGCTCCTGTAAAGATTTACAGCCTCAGAAACCCTATACAGGGTCGCTATGAGTCGGAACCAACTCCACGGCACATAACCACCACCACCAAATTATCTATCAACTATCTACCTACATATATATCTATAGCAGTTAATTTATCTATCTATCTATCTATCTATCTATCTATCTATCTATCTATCTATCTATCTATCTATCTATATCAACTGTCTATCTACCTACCTACCTATCTACTTACCTATCTACCTGTATATATCTATTTAAAGCAGTTTATTTATCATCTATATATCTATAAACTGTCAGTGTACCAGTCTATCTATCTACCTACCTATATATGTATCTATAGCAGTTTATGTATCATCTATCTATCTATCTATCTATCTATCTATCTATCTATCTATCTATCTATCTATCTACCATCTATCCATCCATCCATATATCTAGCCATCCATCCTATTTGAATGAAAGTTCTGTGATAGCCTCAGAACCTGGTGCCTATTTGCTAATGGGCCACCTAAATAGATTCAGTGTGTCTGGGAAGGCCAGGGGCCAACGTTTCTAACAACCACTCCAGGGATTCAGGTGGCAAGGACAGTACTGTGAGAAATAATGTGCAAAGGCAGCAGGGCTTCATTTCTCAGTTTCCTCCCCTCACCAGATATCTTCGTGTTACAGGGGGTAGATCCCACAGAGCCCTGTGATCGGTAACACCTGCCAAACATCGCTCATCCAGCCTAGATTACAACTGCCTTCATGGAAAAAGGAAGTGGAACCAACTGCTGGCTCTCACACACCTGCTCCTCACTTAACAACTATCGTGTAATCTGACATTTTGCCTTGAAGACAATAGTTTAAAAAAAATCTACTGTGCAACTATTTTGCACGTTAATGACATGCATCTGGCAGTAACAAATGCTGAGGTGCGAGGTGAGAAAAACTCTGGCTGTGATGGGTATGTGCCTCTCTGGTTGCACCATGTTTCTCAGTGGTTTGGCTGTTACGAGGTGATGTAGTCATCCTCCATGTTCACGTAGCACTGGTTTTGCGTGGCTTGTTACCGCGTGGATAAGTGAGTAATGGGTGTGGTACCAGGCATTGTTCTGCACAGTTTCACACATTAGTCTCTGAGCCTTACAACTCCTACACTACTGTTGTCCCACTTTATAGATTAGGAAATGGAGGCACGAGGTCACAGATCCTGAATGCTGTCCTGCCCCTGCAACCCCTGTCCTCCCCCTCAATCCCCACAATCCCCTGAGCATACCTGCTGTCTTCACAGTTGACCATGACACATACAGCCAGCACATCCTGCCCAACCAAGTCCTCCTGAGGGTTGATCCTCACTGAGGTCCACTCAGAGGGCAGGGGAGATGCGGCCCCAGGTTCCGTATCACTGGGTTCAGGCTCAGGGACACTCTTTGGCTTCTTGGGGGAGGTTGGTGTATCTGTTGAGAGGAGAACAGATCTAGAGAGGTGGTGGGAATGAAGAGTCCCAGAGGGCAACTGCTCCTCCAGGAGTTTGGACAGGACTTGGGGGAAGGGGTGCTGGAGGCAGATCTGGGAGCTCTGCAGGCATTCCAAGCCTGACCTCCCAGTCCTCTGTGCCATGGCTGAAGCCCCACCACTCAGCCCAGGCGAACCCAGCCTTTAGAACACATCTCTGCATCACCCAACTTCTGCTGGGAGGCCTTAAAATGGTCAGAGGGCCCCCTAGGCTCTAACTGCTACTGTCAAGTCTCAAGGCTTGAAACACTGGTGGCGCTATGGGATAAGCACTGCGCTGCTAGCCCCAAGGTTGGCAGTTCAAACCCACCAGTCGCTCCCCAAGAGAAAGATAAGGCTTTCTGCTCCCGTAAAGATTTACAGCCATAGAAATCCTCTACAGGGTCGCTGTGCATCAGAACTGACTCGATGGCAAGTGATTTAGATGGTTTTGGGACATCAATGACTTCCAAGTTTGTATGGATCCAGTCCTGGTGTGGTGCTATAGGATATGTACTTTTCCGCTAACTGCAAGGTCAGCAGTTCAAACCCACCAGCTGCTTCTCAGAAGCCTTATACAGGGTCGATACGAGTCAGAACTGACTTGGCGGCACTTAACAACAATAGCCTGAATCTAGACCTACTGGCATCTCTCTACTTGGGCCTCTTGTAGACACATTCAGCTCAACATGCTTAGATGGAACTGTTCATCTCTCCCCAAGTGTATACCCATTTCAGGAAAATGGAAACGTCAGCCTTCTACTGACTCAAGTCAGAAACCAGAGCATGAACCATGATCTCTCCATTCCTTTAGGCTGCACTCAAAGCCACTGGCCAACACTGTTGGCGCTACCTTCACAACAGGTCTGAATCCAGTTCACTTCCCATCACCTTTGTGCCACCCCTCCACATCTCTTGCCTGCGTGTTGGAAATCCCCTTCTATTTGGCCTCTCTGCTTTCCCTCTCTGCCACTTCCACTTCTATTTTCAACACAGTAGCCAGTGACCCATTCAAACAGAAATCAGGTCATGCCTTTCCTCTGCTCAAAACTCTCCAAATGACAGTTCATTTTACTCAGAATTAAAAAATGAAGTCTTTGCTGTGGTCTTCAAAGTCCTACACAATTTGGTTCCCAGTGACCCCTACACCTCATCTCCTGGTACTGACCTGTCCCCTCTGCTTCAGTCACATTGCCCCCTTGGTGTTCCTCTAGCACTGTGGACCTGCTCCCATTTTGGGACCTAGGCACTGGCTCTTGTCTCTGCCTACAACAACCTTTGCCCAGATATTTGCATGCATGGGATAATCATTGCCTTTGAGTCTGTGACCAAATGTCACCTTCTTAATGATGCTTACTCTGATCATGCTATTTAAAACTACCACCCACATCCTGCCAGGAAGCTGGGAGGCATTTGAGGAAGAGATGTTATAAGTGGATGCTTGGTTAGGTTGTAATCATAAACACAACAGCAGTGTCTCTCACTGCGATTACATGTTCTTTATTCCCTTTTCCTGTTTTGCTTCCACTCACGCATAGCACGTTGTGTTTTCTAATGAACTATAAAAAATTCTCATTTATGGGGTATGTATGGGGTCCTGAGGTGGTGCTGTAGGATCAGCACTGGACTGCAAGGTTGGTTTGAACCGCAAGGTTGGCATTTCAAACCCACCAGCTGCTCCTTGGAAACCCTATATGAGGTGTCTATGAGTCGACTTGACAGCACTTAAGACAACAACTAGCATGTAAACAGTGATTTCCATGTTTTGTCTATTGGTAGAATTGTTCCTGGTTAAGAGTAGATGCTCAGTAAATATTTGCTGAACAAATAAATGAATGAACGGAGGAGTAAAAGCAGGCAGCCTGAATCTCCTCTCTATCTTGGCCATTAACTAGCAAGGTGACCTCTTTGTCCGGTCACAGTGAAGCAAGTGTCCTGCCTCCTTTCTAAGCCGCCTCAGCGTGGCTCCCTTCCCCCTTCTGGCACCTTCCCCTAGGAGGGTCATTATCTCCTCTCTTTCCTGAGTCCTTAACTTCTTTCTCTATTGGTTATTTTTCTAAAATATTTAAATGAACTGAAGCTTCTTCTGTTTTAAGAAAACTCAAATCCCAGTTCTACTCCCAGTCCCTAGTCAACTTTCTCGTTGCCATCCTCCTGCCACCATTGGCCCATAGGACCCCTCCTTAATCTTGGGGACATTCTCTCCTCTGCCTATCCAGCTGTTTCCTTTCAGCCATCTAGGCTCTAGTTTGTCCTGAAAAGTTGTGGTTACTCATGGTTCCACTGGAGTCCACTTGTCTTTTCAGTCTCTGCATTCTCTCTGGGAGATATTATCTGCTTCCCAAGTAGCTCTCAGAAGACCCATAAAGTACCTCCAGCCCAGAGTTCTTGCCTCAATTTAGACCCACAAGCACAAGTTCTTGGAGAACATCTCTTCTGGAACCCCCTCAGGGACCTTGAACTTTACATATCCCAATTTGAGTCCATCACCCTCTGAACCTTCTGCTTCCCTTCTAGAATTTCTTCCTCGGTCAACACCATCTTCAGTCAAGGCCCTCTCCTAACTCCAAGGTCACCTCTGACTCTGCCACCCCCCTCTCTCCCCTTCCTCCCCAAAGAAATGACTCTAATCCACTCAGGACCTGAGCTCAGTCTTGGCACACCCAATTACTTTAGCAAAATTTGATTTTGATGTGCATTGTCTTAAGTTTTTAAAATAGTGTACAGAAAATCATGTCTACAGGTAGATCTAGGCTGTAAGTAGATTACCAATTTGTAACTCTTGAAGTGTGTGCCAACTCGTTGGTGCGTTTGTGTGGGAACATGTCTATTTTGGTATAATTGTGGAAGGGAGGCAATTGAGAAGCAGAACTGAATGACATGCTCCATCGTGTTCACCACCATCATCATCACAGCTACACATTACTTTGATTGAGTGCTAAAAAATCCAATGCAACCCTCTAAGTGTATCATCCTCTTTTTGCTTCTGAGGACGCTGGCATAGTCATTTTTTGGCAGTGCATGGGGGATTGTATGTATGCTCATGTATGCCAATGAGCACAACAGAACCACAAATGCCCACCCAGTGCATGTGACCTTTGTTCTTGGAGGATTGGCTAGAATGCCCCTAATTCTTCACTTGCTTCCTGTAACAGATGCACGCTTTGTCCTGTAACTTGGCAGTCCTTTCCATTAAAGTGGCCTCAAGCATAGCAAAGATTTTGAGGTTGGTGCAGGATCAGGCAGATTTTGTTCTGTTGTGCATAGGGTCGTTATGAGTTGGTACTGACTCGTTGGCACCTAACAATAACCCATTAGAGTAGGCAGATACTTCCCTGCCCAACTGATTTGCAGCGTGGCCACAAGACTTGTCTTGACCAGTACAAAGTTAGCAGATTTTATATGAGTGGAGGCTTTCAACATGTTCTCTGGTTTGACTTGCCTTGACATGCCAGTATGCCATGAAAAGAGCTTGTCCCAGATGGCTATGGCACCTGCTGCCTAGATTCCCAATTGAGAGCACATAGAACAAACTTGAATTCAACCCACAGCTTGGAACCCAGCCTGTCCCATCCCATGTGAGCCCAGCCCACCCTCAGACCTACAGTCTGAAGCAGAACCACCCAACCAACCCACAGACTCACATACACAAGGCAAGTAGATGGAAGAAGCTTGTTACACAAATTATTAGAGCGGACACCCGACTCTATACCCGAGTTCTATCTGTGTAGGTAAGTGTGCATATGAACTACATGCCCAAGTACTTGAATATTCAACAGATACTACTGGCTCCCCTCCTCTGATCCAGGCCCGTGGGTTGTGGCTGCCTCTGGCCATCTGTGGCCAGCTCCAGGTGAGGGTCCAGAGTTGACCTGCGCTGAGTGCCCACGCTACCACGCCACACTATCTTCCCCAGACTTGGTTGCTTTCTGCCTTAGACTTTGCCTGAAGTTCCCCGTGTTGATGAGGAGACTCCACGGCTACAACTAGGACTGCAGGAGGCCAGGGGAAGAGATTTGTGGGAACAGAGAGGGTAAGGAGGAAGAACTACCAACTCCCAGCGCAGCTGCCACCAATGTCCTATCAGCACTCTGACCAGATATCTGCACCCCAGGAAGGATGAGACTTCAGACATTCTAAGTGCTGGGGTTGGGCCCACCTACAAACATGGCAGAGCCAGGCAGGGCCAGAGAATGGCTGTCCTCACAGAACAGACCAGCAGACACATTCTGAGTTCTTTTCTAGCAAGGCTGTGCTGCCGATTCAGGTGAAGGGCTTGGCACCATCTACCCAACTCTGGAGGCCCTTCTACCCAGGGGCATCAAAGCAACACATCAGCTTGTATGTTGCTAGTAAAACTCCATTGTATAGATGAAGAAAGAGAGGTTCAGAGAAGAGATCTCACTTGTTCAAAGTCACACAGTTCCTAACTGCTAAAATCAGCACTGGCTCTGGTTGCTCTCTTGTCCACTGTTCTCTCTGGAGAAAAAATGTATAAAAATCAAGTAGAGAAATAGAATGTATCTGTCAGGAAAATAGTCCAAGTTCAGTTCAGCAGAGTAAAGTTAATATGAGAAACTACAGGTATATGGGAGTCCTGGTATGGTGCTGTAAGATAAGCACTGGACCATAGGATTGATTTGAACTACAAGGTTGTCAGTTGAAACCCACCAGCCGCTTCTTGGAAATCTTACACAGGTTCGCTATGATTCAGAACTGACTTAACGACGCTTAACAACAACATCATAGGTATTCATTGCTTAATATCTGTTCAGGCAACAACTGACTACACTTGTGTCTGCGTTGATGGAAAGGTATGTTGCTGGATGCCTTGGCCCTGTCTCAGGCACCCTCGCCCCCCGTGGCCCACAAGTTCCCTCCCCGAGCTGGTTCTCACAAGTGAGCTGACCTTTCCTGCAGCTGGCTTAGCAGAGAGGGGAGTAACTGCTGGGTAGGACATGGCTGAATGCTCACCTCAGGCAACCAAAGCCAGAGCTAACCAAGTCATGGGCCAACAGTAGCCAGTGCACCTGAGGACACAGGTGTTCTCACAATGCCCAAGTTCAGCTATACATTGTGGGTGTTAAGTGACACATGTCTGCAATTACAATGGTGATGGAAATTTGGAATCCTAATGCGGATTGAGAAGGAATCCAGAGATGAGAAATAGCAGGAAGCCACTGGCTACAGAGACCAAGAGAAGAATTGGTGCAAACACAGTCCAGAGCCACCTGTAGGAGCAGGAACCACAGAGGGAGTTAGGGTCACAGGTTGAGCATCACCTGGGAGGAGACACAGTCATTAACCGTGCTGCAGGCAGACCAACTCATAGCGGCTGGTGGGTTTGAACTGCTGACCTTGGTTAGTAACCCAGTTCTTACTCTACAGCTCCATACCAGGACTCCAGCTTCTCCCTTTATCCCCCTCCAATATCCCACCTGGTATGGCACTGTGGGTTCATGCGTTGGACTACAAAGTCAGTTTGAACTGCAAGGTCAGTGGTTCAAGTTTACCAGCTGCTCCTCGGAAACCCTATACAGGGCCGCTATGCGTCAGAACAGACTCAATGGCACTTAACAACAACAATACAGAGCAGGGATTCTTGGTGTGGTGCTTAGGATAAGCACTGGATCGCTTATCCTATAGCACCACCAGGTCAGCAGTTCAAACCCACTACCTGCCCCTTGGAAACTCTATACAGGGTTTCTATGAATTAGAACCGACTTCACGGCATTTAACAATACAGAACAGAACAGAGGAGGTGTGGACAACATATCTGGGAGCAAGTGGGCCCACGTCCTGCATGCTAAGTTTATTTCCCCTACCCTCTTCTAATGTCTGAGGGGAAAACGCCATATAACTCCGAGTGGGAAGGGGCCTGGAGCATGTGGTCCTGCCACCTACTGTCACAACTGCGGGGTGGGGGTTGGAATCTGTCTATGCCAGTTCCAAGTTCCTTTGCAGCACCTCCATGGCCCTTTAAAACAGAAAGGCACTGGCACCCAAAGACAGAGCCACTACCATGCTGGGAGTTTCTAAGAGTGACACTCAGTGTGTACTACTAGGGATGACATTTCAGGGACCTTCAGGGGACAAATAAATGGACAGGTAGCCCTGGGACTCTGGCCCACACTCATGGTGGGGTGTAGCTATCCTGCTGCGCTCTGGCCAGGGGAACCACTGAAAACTTGGTGGAGCTCAGTTTTACTCTGGCATACATGGGGTTTCAGGTATTGGAGTTGACTCATTAGCAACCAGTTAGGGGCATCCTTGTCCTCAGTTCACAGAAGGGACTTGCACAATGCCACTCAGTGTGAGTACAAAGTCTAGGCCCATATCACATGCCAAGCTTCCCCTCAGAACAGGCACATGACGCTGTGCCAGGGTCCCGGGTGAACACACAGCTCTAGAATCACCTCTTTCAGACCCTGAACTTTTTACGTATCAGTACTGACAAGAAGGAGTCCTGGTGTGGCACTGTGGGTTAATGAGCTGGACTGCAAAGTTGTTTGAACTGTAAGGTTGGTGGTTCAAGC